AAAACTGATGGCTTTGAATTGTGGTGAAAATTGTTGGGAGAACACCTGGGACTGCAAAAAGAACAAACGATTCAATATTAGATAAAGTAAAACCAGACTGCTCAATGAAGCACTAATAAAGAAGCTACAGCTTAGATATTTTGGATACATAATGTGTAGGTAAGACTGGACAATATTCTGATACTTGGAAAAATAAAAAATAAATTGAGAAATAGATCTACAGAATATAAGTTGACTAGTTAACTATCATTGATGACATCTGCATAAGCTTACAGGAACTCACAGAAACAGTTACTGACAAAGAATCCTGATGAAATTAGGTCCATCAGTCCATAAAGAATAGGAAGCAACTGAACTACTGAATAATTTGCTTTTGCATTCTGAATTTATTGGCAGATTGCAATTTTTACATCTGCCAAGTTAAAAATCAGAAACACATACAGTGGAATTTAGATAGATAGGGTAAAGAAAATCTTAGTCTTCTCCCCTGTCACATACATTTCTTCCAAAAGCAAAATGGCCTATATGTTTGAAGGTGAAATAGAAAATACAGCGATTTCTATATGCACTGCAGAGCCATTATTACTTTGTTAGCTATTTCTAAAAAGAAAAAGAAAAGATTCACAAATGGCCTTAAAAGTATTCTTAAATTTCAGCTATAAGGAATGTGAGTTGTCTTCTGAATAATGGGGAAGAATTAGGTAAGTCTGAAGTGGCAAAGACAAGAGATAACTTCATTTATGTATTTATACAATATATTTGTTGTACATTGTTATGCAATATATTTATATTCTTTTCAGCCCAGTTTAATGCTAAGTGCAACTACTATATAAACTTTTTAAACAAGCCAATAAAAAAATGGAGCTCAGCTACTGTATTTTTCTGTTAATATTATTCTTTTATTGTCTCAAAAATCCATTTAATTCCATTAAAAAAGGGAAACTTAATATGTTATAAGTTTCCTTTATTGGAAGATTATGCAGTAATTTATCACAGAGAACTGCTAGTTCATGCAAATGCCTGTCAGCATCCAGGCAACAAATGCGTGCAGATCACTAGACAAAGTATCGCTGGTGATACTTTCATGGTTTGCATATTGATACTTGGTTCCACAGCATGGCTTTTGTAGTATTTAATTAATAAAAACTCAATCGGGTAATCGTGAATTAACATGAGCGTTTCCCGTTTTCTGTTTTGTGACCTGCTCATGCTAAAAATTGTCTGTAACAATAGGCAAGCTAATTATTCCCTCTTTAAAAGCAGCTATTACCTATTACTTGAAATAGAGTATCTAAATATGCTAGTTTGTACCACATTTCTGGAAGAAGCCCATTTTCTAGTATCTCTTTCTACAGATGTACTCTTGTGTGTGTATGAAAGGGATATCTTCATTTCCTAATTAGAGATTTTGCTAGAAGGTACTGATTAATGATCAAAAGATTATATACTTTATTAATATTCTTTCTTCCTTTAGCATTTGATCTTTACTGTACAAAACAATATATAATATATAAACTTTTGCAAGACCATGTTACCTCAGGGAAAAGGGTAGTTCTGATTAGTCTTTTTTAAACAAAAACAAAAACAAATGGAGGTGCATTTTAAAGATGCAAATGGCTGCCCTCAAAACATACACATTGTAGTTAGGATATACTGAAATCAAATCTTAATTTTTATTTCCTTAACTAGCATAAACTAGCTTAATTACATATAAAAATAAGAATGCAGTGTTTGCTTCTGGGTATCAAGTCTGTAATAAAATCCAAACATCCACTCCAAGAACAAAACAGTAAAGACAATCAGGGAATGATATACTCAAGATTTCTTTAAACCCTCAAGCAGCAAATATTTAGTTATTTTCCTCCAAATTTTCTTTGAAGAAAAGCTGACACAGACAAATGATTGTTACTTCTATTTTGAATAACTGTACATTGACAGAAAGAGTCACACAACACTTGGTTTCTTTTTAAAATTCTGTTGGCAAATGTTTAATATAACAGATTACCATCACATTTTTCTACTGTTAAAGGCAGAGAACCATATTTTTTGTTAAATATCTCCATCTCCAGCCAATCATTAGGACACAAGGTGAAAACAACTAGCATTTACTAAGTGATAACCTCTTGCCATGTCCAGCTGCACCAAGCCATGAAAAATCTTGTAGTAAATTCCCATAAACATTTCCATTTTATCAGTAATCTGGGAAAGCAAGGCTGAATATGAACCCTTTCAATAATAAAATCAAATGGTGTATGAAGAATATCTGAATATACTGTACTAAATTACTATTAATAAAGGATTCTCAGTACTCAGCTACAGAAAACGTCCTACCAGAAAACAAGATAGGTAGGTAAGTCCAGTAAGTAGCTTTGACTGAACAGCAGTATTAGATTATACTGAGCTAGATGCTGTAACAGTTGGCAATGTCTATTGTGCGGCTTGTAGCTGGTACTACTTTGGAAGAGGGGAGGATCATATGACTTAATACTTGTCTCTTATTAAAAAAGGTAGCATCTCCTTCAAGCTCATTTCCTAGTGAATTGTTTGATATGCTCGCATGTTCTTCTTGGCATCGGAAGTGGTTTGTTATTGCCTTCTTCAGCTTCTCAGTCTAGCCTAAAGTCCTAGGATTCCCTAGAAGTCTCCCATCTCCTTGTTGGAGCCCAGACAAGAGCCGCTATCATAGTAATGTACTTGTACATAGATATCATATCTGAGAAAACATAGGGCAGCCATGCACAGCTTTTTCTTCTGTCAGCCTTCCCTTCACGATTGTTTTCTATAAAGGTTTTTAACAATTTTATAGCACCAATTAAACTTACATTTCTTTTCAGTTCATATATTAATTCGTTCTTTCAGCAACAAACTTCCAATTGCTATTAGAATATTTAAAAAGGATGTGTAACAATATTTTTTTAAGTGAAGGAAAAAATACATTAATCACTTCATCCAGAAACAGACAAATTTAGCAAAGTGCTGGAAACCATAGGGAACAATCTCTCAGGATCTTATTTGAGAACCTGAGATCCACTAAACAGACCCAAGTACAATGCACAGGGAAAGAACATACCTACATGGAGGAACCACACAACCCTGAAGCTGCAAATATTTCTGTTACACACACACACAATGATTTAAGGCATCCTTGTATCCTTGACATATAAGAAGCTAGCATAAAGACGACATTTTTTTTATTTTGCTTACTTGTTATTGTTCAACTATTTTGAATAAGAACCTTTGCTAAAATCTACCTTGTGTCCTGTGGGAAGCAATAGGGAAAATAAAAGTTTTGGATAATTTAATCTTGTTCTTCTGTGCAAGTTATATCTGTGACCCACTAACATATAAACAGATACAAGGTGAGTTTGCATAAATGCTGGGCTAAAACTAATTGGCTAATGTGAAACTCAGTGTATGTATTATAAGAGGTCTGGCATCTGGGTTAATTCATTAAGGTTGAGTTAATCATGGCTTAGCAGTCTGTATGTATTTTATACAAAAATTACACCCAGTAGGGCTATAAATGCCATGAAACAGTTCAGAAGTAGTGCTCTGTAACCCACATAAGCACAGTATCTCTCTGGTAAACATTAAAGCAGCCTCTGAAAATAGAGGGGCTGCTTTAATGAAAATTAGAAAGGTGCTATGCTCATATGAGATTCAAAGTACTTTTTGTAAATCATTTTTGAAGCACGCATAGCTTATCACATATGATCTTCTACAGCCTTCTCAACCTAGTCCCCCACCAACATATCAGGTTACAGTTGTCATAATTCTCAGCTCCTTTGTAGTCTAACTCATATGGAGGGCATCAGCGTCAGGACTGCTGACCTTACCCACATATTCTTGAAAGTAGTAAAAGGAGGAACCTTTCTGAAAAAAATAAAATTATATACTCTATTTTAACCATTAAATAAGGACCCGGCCCCCCTTTTCTGGCAGGGCATTTTTCTATCTCAAGTAAGAAAGATACTGCAAAAAAGTCATAAGTTAAGAAATGTGGTTTGGCATATATGATTTATTCAATGCCTGTAGTCTAACTCACAATGAGTTATTGTTTATTTAGTACAGGTGCCAAACAATGACTGAGAAGGAAGACACTGTTCTGTAAGTTGAAAAAGGAGGAAACTGTATTGCTTCCACAAGGAACAAATGGCCATTTTTAATCAAGCACTACTTCACAAAAGCACATCATTCACAAAATTCAAAAAGACAAGTTATGTTGATTATTTTCTCCCAACACACTTGAATTACCTTTTTCTACCCCCCTAAATATTGTACACAAGTGCAAAGGTGAACTTTCCTCCCAGTGGCAGTCCAGTTCAATGACTGTGTGATGGCTGATGAATTAACTTGAAATGTTATTTTGAATTAATTAATGAGGCTTTGGGGGGTATTAACTTCAGCAATGCAAGCCTATAAATGTTTAGTCACTGATGAATGGGGCTTGCTCCTAAGTAAACAATAAGCTAAAGCTTTAATATATTTTTAAATTAAATTACTTTTAATTACTGGGACTTCAGTGTATATTGAGTATAATAAAAACATCTCCAGGTATAATTACTGTATTAGGGCATGGCCAATGCTCACAACTAAAATGTTTGGTTCTTGATTGCACTGTTCATGCCCTTTCTGTAACTCCCCAAATCACCACCACGAAGCAGTGACCAAGCAGTTTTATGACCCACGCTAAAAGGCTTGCTACCAATCCCTTCCTTACTGGCGATCTCTAGCCCAAAAGCAAAGAAATCCGGCCACTGCCAAGAACCTCACCAGCGTCCTGTTGAGGTAGATCGCAGCCATCACCATTACCTTTCTTCCGCTCCCCGCCGCCCCCACGGGAACCCTCTGCACACTCGCTCAATTGTTCACTCAGTCTCGATAATCTTGTTCTCCGGGCGGACCGCGTCAACAAAAGCAGCTGAGAAACTCCCCTCACCCAGGGACACCCCTTCCGCTTCGACAAGGTACACATCGGGCGCGCACACATCGCCCCTTACCTTAGTGATGATGAGAGGTTCTCCATGTTCTCTTCCTCCTTTTAACGTGAATCCCCAGGGAGCTCCGCCACTTAATTGTACTTCCACCAGCTTGTACAGATCAGCTCCTCTCTGGTCTCCTATCGCCAGCTGGTGGGGGTGTGCCTGATCCATAAACCCTGGATTCAATCTCGGATCTTTATCAGGACCCCTTTCCTGTCCGCCTCTGAAGTCCACATTCTCCATGGTCTCTCGAAACTGCCCCCAGGAGCTCCTTCCTAGTTTGATCCAACGCGCCGCTGACCTAGGAACCACATACCTAACAGCGGTTTTCAGCCTGCTCCCCTATGGGAAGGGAGGGGGGTTGTAAACCCCTTCCAACCCTGGCTCCTCCTCCAGAGTTCAGCCTCTCTTTTCCTCTTTCTTTCTTTCTTTGAAACAGAAGCCTAAATCAGCCAGAGGGGGGAAAGCAAGCAAGGCGAGGAAGCGACCCTAGGAAATTAGAGTCGCCTGACCTGAACCAGGTACAGCTCGATCAAAGCATAAGATATTTATTCACGCTTTCATGGCCGTGGGCTTAGTTGCCTGCGCGAGCCTGTTAATATATTCACGGAAACAAACGGCGGCAGTTTTCCCCAAGGGAAACGCGAACGCAGAGCCCGAAGAGAAACGAAGGAAGCGAAGCGACCGGGGGCATTTTCCACTTTCTCCAGAAGGTGATCCGAGTTTCCGTTTCGGATGGGGGTGGGTGGAGAGCTCGACTCTCCCCAGCAGGAAAGAGGGTGGTTTGAACCATGTGGGGGGTTAAAAAAACCAGGGGAAATTCGACCCGGAGAATTGCCCTTCGCCCAATGAGCCGTGAAGGAGAGTAGCGAAAAGTTTTCTCCAACGCTGAGGGGGAACCTCCGAGCGACCTCGTCTATGCAGCGGGGGTAACGCCTTTGCACAGGGGGTCATGGCTACCTTTCAGGAAGCCGCTCCTTTGGGCGCAGTTTTGTGCCCGGAATATTTGAAAGAGGTCCTACTGGAGCCAGCGGGGCTTCATGCCAGGAAAGGAGCCGCAAACAGAAACCTCGACGGTCCCGAGGCGTCGAGAAAAGGAGAGGCTGGACCTCGGCAGGAAAAAAAAAAACCCTCCCTCTTCCCCTTCCAGGTTTTCTTAAAAAGCAGGCAGCGCCAGCTCCTTCCGGCTCCTTGGCCGCAGGGTTTACGTACGCACAACAGGCGCCTTCTCCCGCTGGGCAAAGAAGGCTTTTGTGACGGAGCCCGGTGAGGAGTTAGCTCAGCGGCCTTGCAAGAGGCCCCGCGAGGCGGGCGCTTCGGCGGCCGGGAGGAAGGCAGGACCCGCCGCCCGAAGGATCTTGCGGCGCGAAGCGGTTCCGGCGCTTTCCTTGCGGGGGGCCAGAGCGGAGGGGCAGACAGG